CGCTCCCCCCTAGCCAGTATACTCTTAAAGAGAAGTTCCTTTCATTTATTTAGTTGTCTTTTGGTATAGTTCTTATAGGAAAGGCAGGATCACTGAATGCTTCTTACTACCAGCTTTTAGACTACTTTTCAAAAATAATTCCTTAGTTCACTATCTTGCACAAATCATAACCAATTAGTTTATCAATTAGTAAATTCGTGGATTTAAACATCTTTGTAGGTTTACTCTCTATACAATACGCTGTAGTAGATTATTTCAGTGAATACAAACGACCACTGGGGACCATGTCAGATGGGCTCTTAGGACCTTTTGATAGGACTCTGGTGATGTTCATCTGTGTAGTAATGCCACCATCTGGAAATACTGTTCATTTTGTGTGTGTGTGTGTGTGTGTTTAGTGATTGCTTTCGCAATTTTGATTTTAATAGTTTTATAAAAGGTTTACCAAATTCCAACATTCAATGTATCAAATGTACAAAACAAGCTGAATTCAAGGTCTAGCTTCATGTCTGTACCACCAGCTTCCTTCTCTTCCGTATAGACGACCATTACAGACACTGTGCTTTATCCTTCCATTGCTTCTTGGAAGATAAGCAGACACTTTTATGCATATTTGTGCTCCCCCTTTAAATAATCGAAGCTTACAATAACTATTTTTTTTCCATCTTAACATGATTCTCAAAGACTATTTCATAGCAATATATATAGTTTGTGTTCTTATTTTCAAGCAAGATAAAACTCTATTGTATAGGTACATTATTCAATAAGTCCCCAGTTTATAGACATTTGTGTTGGGGTGGGGGTGTCCCCAACACTGGAACGAGTCCTCAGGAGCAACTTTACAATTGTAGAAAATATTACAGGTAGACAGACAGCAAGGCACGGGGGCTGCTCGTCCCATGTCTGGACTAAGTGAGAATGTATTTTCCACTGGGTATATATAATTGGGCTTACAAATCTTTCACAAGGCATTCACATAATACAGCTAACATGTGAGTCAATGAGTAATATCATACTAACCCAGCAATGAAGTGAGTCAATGTCTTCACCTAGGCTAATTGACTTCAAACCCCCCCTGAGCCCTCCCCTGCGGGAGAAATCTGATCAGTATCAGCAAGAGATGCCAAAACAGAGTTTGCTACATTTTAAGGTGGGTTAGCTATAGAACCTGATTGCTTTTATCTACAGATAATCTTTAGGCGGGCAATGAATGTACAAATGTGCGTTACACAATTGATATATGTATGGATTATGATGAGTCATATGAGCCCCGAATAAAACGATTAAAAAAAGGTGGCTTAAACAAACAAAGATAATCTGTAGGCATTGTGACGTAGCCAGATGCAGAAATGATTCCTCTTAATATGGTAGCTCGTTATGACAGTTCTTTTATGGGGGGTTATTGGAGGAATTGTGTTCAGTCATGAGAATGTGTAGTAAGATTTTTTAAAAGCATTTTATTGGGGGCTCATACAACGCTTATCACAATACATACATACATCAATTGTGTCCAGCACATTTATACATTCTTTGCCCTCATCACTCTCAAAATATTTGCTCTCCACTTTAAGATTTATTTATATCTCATAACTGTGAAAGTCTTCCCCCACCAATCAGCTTTCCAGACCCATAATTATGAGCATGGATGATTTAGCTGCATTACATTCTCAGCCAGTCCCTCAGGTTACCACATATTTGTGTTTCCGGTCTTTGACTCTTGCAGATAATCCAGTAATAGACTAGTGCAGTTCTTTTTACATTTTGTTCTTATGTCTGTATGCCAGCATCCTAAAAATAGAGCTGATGAATGTAAGATATATGTAACTGAGCTAAATAATAATTCTAAGAGGGAGAACTTTTCATATTGCCACCCACACCATGTACTCTTCACAACTGCCAACAGAAAATGCTGTTAAGCGTTTTCATTTTGCAATTTTGTGAGAGATTTTTGCGTATTTCACTTATTGTCT